TTCACTCCTCACCTCTAACGTAAAGTATGAAAATACTGTCACTTAAAGAGAGTATAATTTCTTGGATCTTCTCTAATTCCACTGCTAATACGTTCAGATTATAACTAATTTGTATACCAGCTACTGCAATCTGGTTCAACTTCTAGTGCTGTCTCCATGGGTGAACCGGATAAGTTATTTATCTTCTCTAAGCTTAACTTTCCTTATTTGTGAAGAGGAGGGAAATAACAGGATTTTGTGTGCAGTAAATGAGATAAACTGTAAGTAAAGATACTGCATGGCACACTGGAAGTGCTCAGTAAATACTAGCCATTATTCTTATAGTGATTGCCTTCATCAGTGTCCCTGTCTACAGTTTCTCTCTAAAATTCACCTCCCACTTTGCTGCCACACAATTATTCTTAAACTAGTGGCCCGGTGCATGGATTTGTGCACACTGAAAGGAACTTAATTAGAAGGTGGCCGGTGGGGTGGGACTGGGTGAGAGGGGCCGGACACGCCCTGGAGCCAACCTCCCACAGTCCTTCCCCTGCCAGCCATACCAGAGGTGGCACCACGGCTCAAAGGGTGTCTGCGGAGTGAGCGGGGTCCCTCCAGCAGGTGGGGTCCCTCACCTGTGGGGATCGGACTGAAACCAGCTTTCTGACATCCCCCAAGGGGTCCCAGAGTATGAGAGGGCACTCTGCAAAGTTGCTGTCGTACAGGGTGTGGAACGCAAACACAAGTGTGCAGTAAACCAGACTCGGGGCTGACAGTGTCCCAGAAACAACATAACCCACTGCTGAAGGTGAAATCGTGTGGCCCCACGAGGAATTGGTTCTGGGGTGCATCACCCAACAACTGCCACTGCCAAGTCACCACAGCTCAGCAGCTCCTGCGTTGAGTGTCTGCCCCCTGGTGATCACCTCATGTCATACCTATCAGCTGGTTGGACAGACGCTTAGCCTTATCCTAGCTAAAATAGAGAAACATGGTAATTAACCGTAACTTTGCTACCCTTCCCATTGGCTAATCAGCGAGATATGCAAATTAACTGCCAACCAAGATGGCGGCCGGCAGCCAGGCAGCTGAAGCGAACGGGAGGCTTCCTTGCTCCAGTGATAGAGGAAGCCAAGGTTCCCCGCCTGCCGCTGCCGGCCTCTGAGCTTGCACTCTAAGCAACTATGTTGCAACTATAGAAGCTAAATAAACCCTAGAAACCTGCTTTCAGTCATCAGAGCTGGAGCGAGCAGGACCGCAACAGTGTTACAATTATAGAACCCAAACAAACCCAGATACCTGCTTTCAGCAGCCAAGGTCTCAGAGCTGGAGCCGAGCCTCAGAGCTAAAGCCGGCTCTCAGCTCCAGTGACAGCCATAGAAGGCAAATAAATCCCAGAATAAAAAAAAAAGAAAAAAAGGAGAGGCTGGGAGCTTCAGTCACCCGCCAGCCTGAAAACGGCCCTCAGCCCCTCACCCAGACTGGCCAGGCACCCCAGTGGGGATGCCCACCCTGAAGGGGGTGTGACCAGCTGCAAACAGCCATCAGCCGCTCATCCAGGCTGGCCAGGCACCAAAGCGGGACCCCCTACCCTGATCCGGGACACCCTTCAGGGCAAACCAGCCGGCCCCCACCCATGCACCAGGCCTCTATCCTATATAATAAAAGGGTAATATGAAAACTGTCCCTAACAGCAGAAAGACTGGGAATGACTGGTCACTATGACACACACTGACCACCAGGGGGCAGATGCTCAATGCAGGAGCTGCCCTCTGGTGATCAGGTTGCTCTCACATGGGAGGAGCTCTGCTCAGCCACAAGCCAGGCTGATGGCTGCCAGTACAGCGGTGGTGGTGGGGGCCTCTCCTGCCTCCTCAGCAGCACTAAGGATGTCCGACTGCAGTTTAGGCCTGCTCCCCGCTGGCAAGTGGACATCCCCCGAGGGCTGCCGGGATGCCAAAGGGATGTCTGATTGCCATCTTAGGCCCAATCCCCCCGGGGAGTGGGCCTAAGCCAGCAGGTGATCATCCCCCGAGGGGTCCCAGACTGCGAGAGGGCACAGGCCGGGCTGAGGGGTCCCCTTTCCCCCCGAGTGCACAAATTTTTGTGCACCAGGCCTCTAGTCCTATATAATAAAAGCTAATATGCAAATAGACTGAACAGCAGAACAACTGAACAACTGGTCACTATGACATGCACTGACCACCAGGGGGCATGTGTGGAACATGGTGGGTGTTAGCTGTGGCAGGATGGTGGAGCAGGTGAGCGGGGGCGCTAGACCAAGGCAGGGTGCCAGTTGCTTTCATCAGGGCAAGCCTCTGGCGGTTACTGAAAATTCTTTGCTCCGTTCACACCTGCTGCTGGCACCAGCCCTGCTCGCACCTGCTGCTGGCGCCGAATCACTTGGTGCCAGCAGTGGGTGCAAATGGTGGCTGTCAGCCCTGATCTCCCCTGAGGGCTTCTCTACCTCCCCCTGCTGCTGAGGGGCAATCAGGGCAGCAGCCGCCACTTGCACCCACTGACAGCACCAGTCCTGCTTGCACCTGCTGCTGGCACTGGCCCCAATCACTCCAAACCATCAGCAGGTGTGGGTGGTGCCAGCACTGTCAGCGCATGGGAGTGGGGCTACCAGCAGACAGGGGACTGGGGTCTGTGGCGGGAGGGGCCGGGCGGGGGCGTGGAGGGTGGGCCAAGACCCACCCCTGTGCCTACCACAACCTCGCAGCCCACAATTCCTTTCAAGGTGCACAAATTCATGCACTCGGCCCCTAGTGTGTGTGTGTGTGTGTGTGTGTGTGTGTGTGTGTGTGTGTGTGTGCGCGCGCGCAATACCTTTGATTTTGTCAGTCTCTATTCAAAATTCTTCAATAGATTTCATGCAAACAGGATAGTTTTATCTTCCTACCTGGCATGTGTGGCCATTCTCTAGCTCGCCTTAACCACCCTAGTCTCTCATGAGGCCCCTTAATAACAGAATAAACTTCTCCTTTCCCAACATACCCTGCTCTTTTAAGCCTCCTTGCTTTGTTCCTGGTATTCCATCTGCATGGAATGCCTTCCCTATGAGTATCCATATAAGTTGCTGACCCTCCAAGCTAGCTCAGGTGCTACCAGCTCCACAAAGCTTTCATCCCTCTAGCAAAGTGAGTTTTCCCCTACGGATTCCTGAAATAGTTGTCATTTCTTCTACCTTGAAAAATTGTTCCTTAGGTTCACATTATCTCCCAACCAAAATATAAGTCCTCCAAACCCAAGGTTCCAATCTGTTTCATTTTATATCCCTACTAGAGGCCCGGTGCACGAAATTCGTGCATGGGTAGGGTCCCTAGGCCTGGCTGGTGATCAGGGCTGGCTGCCAGCCAGGGCCTTCCTTCATTCCCACCGTCCCCTGGAGGTCATCGCACATCATAGCGAGCAATCGAACTCCCGGTCTCCCGGTGGAACTCCCGAGGGGACAATGTGCGTATTAGGCTTTATATATATAGATGGTCCTAACACAGGGCCACACTTACAAAAGGTGCTTAACAAATATTTATGGAATCGAGTAACCATACACTATTACTAAAAGTACAATGTGGTAACAGAAGAGGTTGAAATGAAGCGCTAAGGAAGCACAGTGGAGGGAGAGGTTATTTCAGTTGACTGTGCATTTGAAGAAAGCTTTACGGATATTAGAACTTTTTGGACAGAGAGCTAGGCCAAGAATGCAATGTGAATAAAGAATGAGTGGGGAAAACAAAGACTTAAGAATAATTTATATGGCTGCAATTTACGAGATGGAAAGGATACTAGGTTATTAGGAATAAAAATGCCAGATTATTGAGGGACCTGAATGAACTCCTAAAAAATCTGGATTTAATCCTAGAAGCCAGGGGAAGCCATGGGAGGCGTGAGCAGGGAAATGATATAGTCAGAAGTGTGATTTAGAAAAGCTACTCCATCAGCTGGCCATAGATGGAACTAGGTATGGAAGACCAATAAAGACTTTTATAGGAGTTAGGAAAACAACAACAGGGCCTTGAACTATGATGGTGACAGCAGAAATGTAAAGATGAAAGAATGTAGAAGGGGGCAGAGTGGAAAGAGAACTGCAATGGGGCAGTGGAAGAACAGGGGTTCCCCAAGGACAATTCAGGGAGACCCTGAACTTGGCTGGAAAAGTACAACATCTTTATTTTCACTAAACCCCTAAGTGAAATGTAGCATACCTTCAATTATGAATATGGGCAACAAATCATGGTAGCATTAGGTTTCATCAGACTGGCAAATAGTAACATGGTATAACAAAGAACTTCTTCACTCTGAAGTGACTAAAAGTTTGGTAAAGCCTTTACCAGAGATAAAGATTAGAATTAGATAGAAAATTTTAAATACACACATATATTTATTTTAAAGAACCCATGTGTGGGGACTGAGAGAAGGAAGAACAATAAAGATGGTTAAATGATCACTTTGACTTTGGATGTGCCGAGTTTCAGATGTCAGCCCACACTTACCTTATACAAAAACATCCATTTGTCCAGTAACCCTCCAGCTGCAGGGAACCCTAATCACCTCTATACAGTAAGAACCCTCACTTCCCATTCTGCTCATCCTCCCAGCTTGTGACACTGAAAACAGTCCAAGGTTGACCAACTGTCCCAGTTTGCCTGGGACAAAGAGGCTTTCTAGGACAAGGGCCTTTGAGTGCTAAAACCAGGAAATTCCAAGGCAAACTGTGATAAGCCAGTGACCCCAAGGGCCCCAAATCTGGCTATATGCTATATATATATATATATATATATATATATATATGACTGTATTACTATTATGCCTTCAATTAAGAAATAAAACTATGATCCCTACAGTTCATTTTGGATCTGAGTCTGTCCATCTGTTCTTCCCACAACGTAGAAAATCCTGAAGGAAAAATCTTCCCCTCACAAAGTCAAGACAGTTAAGGGCACTCAATAAATGCTCCAGGAACCAGAGAGCATTATGTCAGTAATTTTTACAGTTTACACAGTGCTGGCAACACTCACATCTCATGCAACCTTCTCCAGCAGGCTGTGCGACCGAAGGAACCCAGGCTCTGGGAAAGCTCGGTCCTCTGCTCTGCCTACTGCGCACAGCAAGCAAAGTGCCGGCTCCGAGCACCGCGGCTGCCAAAGAACACCGTGTGTTCCACAGAAGCACGAGCGGCTGTTGCTATATGGAGATTATGCAAAACTGCAGTTTCCTTTCTTTTGCAATGTCCACGGACAGGGTACCGACACACAATAAAATGGAGTGTTCCTTTTAGGGTGCCAGTGATGGGTTGTTACCTAAAGGAAAAGGCATAAAAGGCAGTTAATTAAAATATTCGTAATTGGTGAGATCAGGTAAGAGGAACAACTTACAAACCAAAAAAGAAGGCAAGTGGTACGAAGATTGTGCTCTCACACCCAGCACCTAATCAGAACCTCTACCCAAGGCAGTGAATGCACCTGCATTAGTCAATACGGGAAGGCATCGACACGCCCATGGGTGCCTGTATCGATCAACCCAGGAATCTTGGCCGGGGCTGGGAATGGGGAAAGCCAGGATGTATAAATCAGGGGGGTCAATTACTCCTAAAGCTTCGTAAACCGGAGAGACCGGGCCTTGCTGGGTTTATGGGCCCGCAACTCACCAACCACCTAGCCCTGTAGCCATGGCAACGCCCACGCCGAGGCAGCGCCAGCATTCACCTTTGGGTAAGCCACAATCCACCGCACTTGCACCTACGCAGCTCAAATAAAACCAACCAGGACGTCGCCTCCCGCCCAACCAAGGCAGCCATGGCTTCTCCGTGTTCCTCTCTCTAACCTATGCAGGGAACATGTTCTTTTATTCTTTACAGCCGTGTCCCCGGCAGAGAGGGCGAGTCCTGAGCGACGGCCACTTTTGCTACAAAGATAAGAGGAGTTTTTCTCTTTTTGGGGGGGTGGACGTCAGAGACGCCTGAAAACCGGATGCACACCCAAACAGAAGTTGCCTAAAAAGGCAAATGAGCTGATATGATCAAAAACATTTTTTTCAGCCAACATCTCGGAGCATGTCTGTCAGGCAAGCTCAGGTTTGCCCCTGCAGGCCACTGTTTCTGGAGCGATAAACAGCTTCCAAGACGGCTGTTTGATTGAGAGTTAAAAACAAAACAAAAAACCCCGCATTCCGTGCGGGTGGGACCGCGCGCCGCGAGCGCAACCATGACGTATGCGGGAGAGCGTTCCAGAACCGCTTTCCGGCGCCAGCAAGACGCCCGGGAAGCAAATCTCACGTTTGCTCCTAAAATTTAAGGGGAATCCATTCGCCCTCCCCGCGCCCGGTGAGAGAAAGCAAACCGAGCGGTCTGACGGAAGCGGCAGCTAAAACCCCTGTGAGACCCCCCTCGTCCCAGGGCGGCCACTCAGCTCCCTGAGCTCCCAGCCGCCAGCCCGCGAGTTCTATCCCCGCCACATCCCCGGGATCTACGCACAAACAACACAACCCACCGCCAAGTAAAAAAAAGGGGAACCCCCAACAAAACTTCTGCCGCGCAGCCTTTTTTCTGCCGCTCAGAGAGCGCCGTGAACAAACCCGCGGCGTCCGGAGCGGCCCTCGCTGCCACTAGTAAAGATGGCCGCCCTCGGCGGGGCCGCTCCCTCCCGGCGGCCGCGGGCTGCCCTGCGAGCCTAGACCACTCACGCGGAGCCCTCCACGCCCGCCGCGGCTTGACGCATTGCAGGTGCGGAGCGGCCAATCAGGAGGCTCAGCTCTTTCCGGCCAACCACTGCAGGGGCGCGCTGGCCAATCAGAGCGTCCTCGTCGCCCTGAGCGAGGAAAGCAGGCTCGGCAGCGCCAACTAAGCACTCGGAGGCGCGGCGCGGTCTGGGGCGTTACTGCGACGGCCTGTGTGCTCCTCCGCCGGGAGATATAGTGCCCTCGCCCGCGCCGCGCCCCGCCCCGCCGGCCCGCGCGCGCTTGAAAAGCCTGGGTGCGAGGCTGGCTGCTTCTCTGCTGCTTGGGGACAAACAGTTGCCTTGGGAACGACGCTAAACGCCTTGGCCGTGGCCCTCGGAGGGGCGATCGCCAACCACCCTCCCTCTGCTCCCGGGCTCAGTGAAGCCGCGCTGCTTGCTTTGCATGCGGCACGTGTTGGGAAAGCGGTGGTCGCCCGAGAAATAAGAAAACTGTCCCTGATCTCGAAAGCCGGAATCAAACTGCAGCGGAGCCGACCCTTTCTGTTTGCGAGCGCAGGCCCTGGCCCCGAGGGCATCCTCGTGGGCACTGGCGTGTCAAAAGGGCCCATTTTCCATCCCCATCCACACCCCCTACCCCCCTGCGGTTTCCTGATCCCCTCGCGGGGCTGCAGTTTTCTGCCCAGTGCGACCGGGAGCACCCGCCCGGGGCCGGGGGAGGGGATGGTGGGTTGCCTGGCAGCCGCCTGACTCGGCTGATCCTCCCCCCTGGAAAGCTTGTTATTTCTCTGAAAAACGCCCTGCTAGATGGAGGTTTAGAGAAATGACTGCCACCAGGGGCCCGATCCGGTACCCTTGTCTGTCTAGCTAGCGCTAGGAGATAGCGCTAACCCCTGATGACACAGTGGAAAGTCCGAGACTCAGGAGGGTCCATAGACACACACGCCTGCGGCCGCACAGCATTTTAGTAGCAGCGCGCAGCCTGGGATCTAGGCTGTGCGTCTCCCGAGCCTGGGAGTCTCTGCTCCATCACACCCCGGCCCGAGCTGACACTGAGGCTGTCAGATGGCTCCATTATTTGGGGAACTTTATTGTATAACCAAAGGAAGCTGTAGGAGCTAAGGGAATCGTTTTATTTTTATTATTTTCTGAACGTGATTTTCAATCGTGTCCTACAGACAAAGTACTAGCAGAGAAGACATGTTACTTGGTTATTCTCCCAACTCTCGGAATCTAGCTAAGAATATGAAATCTAATGGATTTCTCAGAACTGCCATTTCATTGAACATCCTCTGTCTGTGATTTTGGCACGATTAGGGCTTGGATAATCTCATGATTTTTTTTTCCTTTGCGATCGAGCTATAGTCACATCCTGTTTCTAAGGTTACGCCATGAATGGTCTTTCCTGGGGTTTTAGGACCAGTAGTGGGGACGGCACTGTAGCCAGGGAAAGGTTGTTCTTTGATCGGAGGCCATCGTTGCCACTTGCCATTTATTGCTGCTGCTTAAACTTTTACTCAAAGCCTCGTTCAAAAGCCGTGGTTTTCTTTCTGTGGGCGGCGAGTCATCATCCCCAAAGATGTTTGCCAAGTGAGCAAATATCTGAACTTCCAACGAGCTGCTCACCATAAAAAATACCTGCCCAAAGAAGCAATACTTCACATTTCTTTTTGCCATGCATATGGCATAGGAAATACCTATGGCAACATCTTTGTATCAAGTCAGAGGGTGATGTGAGAAAAGAGATCTGACTGTGTCACTAACACATTGGGAATTCTTGGGTAAGTTCCTTTGTGCCCAGAACCTCAGTTTTCTAGTCTGTAGAATGGGAAGATTGGATTAGATGATTTCCATATTTCTTTCCAGCTCTAACCTTTGATTCTGCCGTGAAGAATTTGGAAGATAACTTACTTGTGTCATTATATTCAGCCTGATGATAGTGCTTTAGGCTTTTAATATCACCTTTATATGTCCCCATTTACAAAGAAGTGAGGTTTGCTAAAAGTTTGCCCCAGGCTTATCTAAAACATGAATCAGTGTGCCACAAAATATTCCTTCAGGCTTATTACTTCAGTCCGGGTATATACCACATTTGCTGCTTTTGGGTGGTCAGTAAGTTAGCTCCCTGAGCTCCTTAAGGACAGGACCCATCCAATTTATCTTCATATTCTTAGTGCTTAGTAAATTTCATTTTACAGTCCAAGGACTTAATAGAGTTTTGTTGAAGGAATGAATGAACAGTAATTACAACAGTGGTAGAAGAATTGGATGTAAAAGGGTTCTTGAGTTCCAATCAATACTTATTGAGAGTCTACAATGCAGAAGTATTTTCTTTCAGCATTACAAATTTCTCTCTCTCTTTGTCTCCACTTCTTCAAATTAAGGAAATATCATCATTATGGGACATTAATAATGCCTTCTTAAATAGTAGGGCTTATCGCCAGGCCTTTCTTTGTATGCATTTTATTGCATTCTTTGAAGAATACAAAGATTTAGAAGAAAATGATTTCAAAAAAATCTGACTCACTCAAACCAAATTGCTCACTTTCCCCGTGTATTGTTGCTTTTCTCGTTGTTGTAAAGAGACAATGTCCTGTACCTAGCTTTTGATCTTTTTTGAGTTTTTTGAAATAAATGTCAGGATTGATCAGTCAGTTTGAGCAGGCACAGCTTAGTCTGTTCTAAGTATTTTAATGGAGTATCATTCAACAAAGTAGGAATTCTTTAATGATCTTAAGTTTTACCATTTATAAAAAGATGAAACTCGTGAGTCAAGTCCCCTATGACCATAGCTCTATTTATATCTACATCTCCAGGGGTCTCCTAGTTACTAGGGAATTCTGTACAAATTCCTCACAAAATTCACAAGCAAAATATTAAGCATCATAAAAATCCTAAGTTTGGGAAGAACAAGAGAAAGTCCATCTGGTCCACCTTTTCCATTTTTCAGGTAAGTTCTGAGAAGTGATTAGTTAGGGACAGAGCAGGCTTTAGAACAGGGGTGGGCAAACTTTTTGACTTGAGGGCCACAATGGGTTCTTAAACAGGACCGGAGGGCCGGAACAAAAGCATGGATGGAGTGTTTGTGTGAACTAATATAAATTCAAAGTAAACATCATTACATAAAAGGGTACGGTCTTTTTTTTTTTTTAGTTTTATTCATTTCAAACGGGCCGGATCCGGCCCGCGGGCCGTAGTTTGCCCACGGCTGCTTTAGAATGATACTAGACTGAGCTGGCCTTTGACCTTTGATTACATTTTAATCAAAGATTAATCATAATACGAAGAGCAGAGAAATGCTGCCATCCACAAGGCCTCTGAGTGACTGTGGAAAACTCTTGCAATGACTTTGCTTTGGACTTTGTTATCCCGTTTGGGGTTTGGCTGTCTTGAATTGTTCTCTGTGCTAGGCCTTATCTATACAGCTGTTTAAAATCTTTGACCTTCATTTAAGTTGCTGACCCTTTCCTGTTAAGCCTTATCATGCTTTCTTTAGTTATGTCTTCTCAATTCTAGCCATGTTTCCCTCTCTTATCCCCCAAAGCGAATGTTTTAAGATGGCTAACAAACAAATGCAAAGGAATGTAGCCGTACAATTATAATTCTTTTGTATTTTTTAGGGTATGGCAAAGTGCTAAAGAAGAATAGTCATGGTTATAGCTTCATTTCTCATAGTGAAACTTTTAGGCTGGTTCCTCAAAAAACGGTCCTCTTCTTCAGCTGATTAAAACAGGTATGGACTGGACTTGTTCAGAGATGGCATTCTTTCGCAAAAAGGAAACCTCGTTCCATGGCTCCAGCAGCACCTAACCTTTAACCTAACTGGCTGACAAGCAAATGTTTAGAAGCAAAACGCCGTTTAGAAAAATAACAATGGCTTGGTGGAAGCCTATGGTATCGCCATACAAAACACAGGCGGAGATATATGCTCCAACCTCAAGGTCTTACAAAATACCAGTTCCCACGGCCACAGAGTGCTGAATAGCTCTCGTCGGTTCTTCTCCTTTCTTTAGGGTTTGAAAATCAGGAATGCCTCTGTTAGAATCACTGTGTCAATAGGCCATTTAAATGATGGCTTATGGATTTTGCTGCTATTCAGCTTTGAGGTCATTTCCTAGGTTTCCAACTTAGTGCGAGACAGGTGCAGCGATGCCACTTTGCGTGGCAGGGAAGAGCTAGAGCAGTGAAACATGAAACTATAAATCAGTTCTCTTGTCACCAGCCTCTTGGGCTGCTCTACAAGAGGGCCCTGACTCAGCAGCATTCCGCTGGAGTGGTGAAGGGAACGAGGCCGGGGAAGGCTTGTTCCCCAGAGCCTGCCTGTGGAGGGCGCAGAATGATGGAAGACCTGGGATCTTCCCACTGCTCAAGACGTTAGACTATAGCCTCAGATTCCAACTAATTTTTTCTTGACTTCTGATCTGACTTTTGTCAATTGAACTGACCTTTTAAATATTGTCAATAACCACACCTGATATATGTCTAGGGCTTTATTGTTTACAAACTAATTTGATCTTTTTTTCTCCTCTCATGTGATCCTCACACAAACCCTTGAGGTATATGATTATTATACCCATTGTACAAATGAGATAACTGAGTCTGTGGCTAAGCGGCCAAGGAAGCAACCATTTAACCTAGCAAAGAATATTTCACAATATTGTAAAAGAGGTTTCTTGGGAAATAACTGTTTTCAAAACAAAACAACAACAACAAAAAATAAACCTTTCATTGAAATAAGACAAAATTTCTATCTAAACTCTTGGTTTGTGGAGGAGAATGTGAGAAGAGAGGGGCATACCAATACTCATTTGTACAACGTGAAAATTCTCCCGAAGGAAATATGTTCAGGGAGCAAGTGATCCCATCATCCTGTTGTGACGCCTAGAATTGGTTTATTATTCCAAGGACTGAGAGTCTTTACTTAGAATGAATAAGGACTCAGGAAGCATCTTCACTGGACTTAGAAAGAGACCCAGTTTTTCTGTTCAAGTACAACT